CACCACCACCAACCACCCCTCTCCCTTACAAATACATCTTTAACAGACGGGCTGCACAGCATTATTAAATCTATTTCATGCAACCAGCCTCTATATGGCTGTTTGCCTAAAGCGAGAGCCGCACCAAATAGAGGGAAGCGCGCGCGTTGATCATAAGGGATTGGTGGTAGTGGGCAAATAAAATGTTGCAACCAGGAATCATAAGACACAAAAAAGTATGTGTGACGAGCCAATATGTGCTCTTTGACCCGCCCAACCCGGAAAAGTCGCACTGGCGCACTTGTGAGTGGCGCGGGTGGACCACAAGAATGTACGCCCACCGAACCAGTCATTGTAGGTGGGCCCACTCGTCCCACGTAGACCGCACCCACACACACACACCCTCGGTCTTTTTGCACGAAAACGGTGGCTCCTGACGCGGAAAAGCCCCCCCCCCCCTTACACACACACACACACACACGCACACACACCACCTCACCAGGTGTTTGTGTGTTTAGGAGAGCGGAAACAAATATCCCAATGAGTCGCGCACGTGCCTTGTCATATCGAGCGAGGCTCCGAGGGCCGAGTGCGTGCATTCATGGACTGGGTCACCATGATGGAGTAGATACGCCACGTCCGAAGGCAAAGGACACAACGGGGGGAACCCGCCGGCGACTCATAATCAAACCCGAACAATACCCTTTTTTGTATACAAGCTCTGAAACTCTCATTGACTCCTCCAGGAAACAGCATGGCGGCAACGAGGATGCACAGACAAAATGCTTAGAAATTTAGTATTCTGGACACGAGTCGGGCATACACGGTACAGGCCGCGACAAGGACAGGTGTTTCTGGTGCGCACCACACACCCGCGGATTACGGAGCAAGTTGGAGGGGGAAAGGGGGAAGGGAGGGGAATCCACCTGAGCTAAACCCTCGCCTCATCAAGGGGGTCTCCCCCGGGGGGGCACCGTATGTGCACCGCCCCTCGGCGGCCCACCCTACGGGGGGATAATGAAATCCTGAACATGTCCCAGGCCACCCCCGCAGAACCCCCCGCCGCGCTGCCTGCACACCTGGGCCCGTGCAGTTCAGCCCCCTTGACGCTTTGGCTACAATAGTGGTGAGGCCACCCGCCACAGAGCCGGTAAGCAAAGAGCACGGTCTGGGAAGGGAAGGTAATGAGCACAATTTTGGGTAAATCACTTTTGTTCCCTTAAAATAAAGGTGAGGTGACGTTTTCAACATACCTAATCAAGTTTACAATTTCGTGCATGAAACGTTAAATTAAATCGTCAAACCGTCATGACGAACCTTCATATTGAAGCAACTTACAAAAGTGGCGATGAATGCAACTTTTCATAAACTTTTCCTGTCCTACGGTACTAGACGATGCTTCCAGCTGATGAAGTCGGAGTAAACACAGAACTCTCTGCGATCAAAAGATTAGTGGAACAGTGCAGAGCGGGATTAACAAAACAAAA